AAATAATTTCACTTCATGTCTGCTACAATGATATTTATCCTTTGCAATATGATACCCACAATCTTCATGTTTGACATCATATTTCAACAATAAACATTCGTATTTTGGACACTCCATAATTTCCATATTTATACACGCCACCCCCAACATATTCAATAAATTACGTTCAATATCACCGCCCTTGTAACCCACCAAATCGGCACTTTCAAATATTTTACGCAACATTTCAATCATTTCACCATATAAATAAAAATTATTGTCAACACGCCGTCTTTCAACAGGTAACCCGTGTATTATCTTTATTTGGTAACACACTCCAGGATCATTCTCATCAATCAATGTGACATTTGGAGTGTAAATCTGATAGGTTGTGACATTATTTGTTAATCGACATAAAACAGACACTTCGCGTAAGAAAAATTTTTTCCGATACATGTAAGCTTCGCAATCTATGATATGTGTAATACGCAATTTTAGAGTATTACAAGCATCACGATTCAATAATTGTAATGGCTGAACAACATCTCGTACCCTGGAGCCAGAGGGTATTTATTTTCGCCTGTTTTGAATAACCCTCTGGTGAAATTGGCGTAGTTTTCGGGTTCACATTCCACACATAACTTTCAAAAATGGAAGGAAAGAATTGATTGGCTGCTGACTATAGGTTCGATAGACTACGTGTTCTGATTGGATACTGTAAACATCATAGCCTGTTCGCAGGCGTTTCGTGTTTTGATTGAATTGAAACATTTGAATTTTGAAATGTCTATATTATTTAATAAATAAACGAACAAAAGTTGAAAGAAGCAGTTTTATAGGCTGCATTAATAGATAGATTGATAAATTTCCTGAATTAAAAGTTTAACGGAGCATCAATACCGTGCCTTGTCCAATTTGATTCACATTAAAGATGTATTTGCATCTTGCTATCGGTTATGGGAAGAGTTTAATATTCTAAAGTTCTAACACCGAGAGTAGCACGACGACTTGGCAAAAGCCACAATTTTCTGGAGAAACCCATCTTAACAGTCATTTGCAAATTGAACTCTTCACATTTCTCGCACTTCGCGTTCGCCAAACCTAAAAAAACCTCTGGGCCAGGGTAAACATCTCGAGGAAAGACTTGGCAATGGAGAAACTGACTCAGTGTTAACTTCATTTCGATCACAAGAAACTAGTCCCCAGTCTCCAGTTATGTCGAAAAAATCCTCAAATGTGGAACAGAAACAAAAAGAGGCAAAGGAGGCTAGTGAAAGGCTAATCCAAATGGAAAACGAACAGCGAGTAAAGGAGCTAGAGATCCATAAGCTGACCGCTGAGCTGCAGCTGACAAAACAGCGAACCGATGATGCAAGGAAAGTTGCTGCTCTCAACAAATCCCGGGCTGAAGAAGCCGAACGAAGATCGCAAGTATCGGATAATGATACAGTACAGAACTTCCTTATTAACCGTCACTTAGAAAAACATTCAGAGCTACCCAATGAAAACAAAGAACAAAGACAGACATTTTCTCCCATTAGACTTAAAGGAGTGGATCTCCCTATCTTCTCTGGCGAAGAAAAAAGTGACTATGAATCCTGGAAGGCAGCATTCCTGTCTGTTGTCGATCGTCGTGATATTCCTGTCGGAGAAAAAATGCTTAGACTACAAGGCTGTTTGTTGGGTAAAGCTTTAACCATGGTGAAAGATCTTGGGTATTCCCTTAATGCGTATGAAAGAGCGAAGGCTAAATTGGAGAAGTACGGAGGGGAGAGACGTTTACAGATAAAACACCTAACAGCTTTGCGCAATTTCCGGAAAATTCGACCTCGAAATCTGGAGGATATGGAAGAGTTTCAAGTTCTATTAGAAAGAGTATTGATCGCCACTCAGGACTCAGGACCATTGCATGGACAGAGCTTGAATTTAACAGCTAAAGAGAAACTACCAGAAGAAGACGTGCAAGTTTACAAATATTGGCTGATGGACCACTCGCGTGAAGACAATTTTGAAGCACTTGAAGAATGGGTTGAAGTACGAGTGCAAGTTATGGAAGAGGTGAAAGAAGAAACGAATGGCAATGGAAAAAAGACGGACAACCGTGTTGAACAGAAGAAACGCTTTCGAGGCTTCAATACTAGATTCACCATGCGATGTTGTATTGTTCCAAACTGTAAAGAGGATCACCCCCCCCCCGTGGGTTTGTAAAGCTTTCAAAGATCTACCCATCCTAAAGAGAAAAGAATTAATTACCAAGGCTGGATGCTGTTATTGTTGTCTGGCTGCTGGACATCGAAGCAAAGATTGCACCAAAACAAGACAATGTTGGTGTTGATGGGTGCCTGAGTAAAGGCCACAGCAGTTACCTTAATGTAATCCCTCCAAAACACAAGGACGACGTGGGGGGACACTTACGACCTGATGCACTGACATATGTCCCCCCAGGACAATCGAACCAAAATAGAGAGGCTCCTCGCAATGATAAGACACGTGATGACAATCTACCACTAACCAATTTCCAGCCCCAAGAAAGAACACATAATACAACTAAAGTAGAGAACGTCTCTCTAATGGTAATATCTGCCCTGGTTAGTAATGGAAACAGAGAGTTAAAGGTCAATGTAATGCTTGACCCCTGTTCGACCAGTTCCTATGTATCAGAGGAAGCAGCAGAATTGCATGGACAAAGCGTAAACCTTACGATTGTGGGAACAGTGGGCATCGAGATCCAGAAAAGATCCCGCCGAGTGGAACTAAATGCGACTAGTCTAGATGGGTCATTTACGACACCTGTCCAAGCACATGTGTTAGATAACATTGCGAGCGACACGCCAGCCATACAGTGGTCCGAACTCAAGGAAACGTGGCCTCACCTGCACAAGATCCCTTTCGACAATGTTTCCAGGCGACAGCAGATTGATGTCATGCTTGGCAGCGATAATCCAGTATTCCACTACGTATTAGAAGTTCGCGGCAGCCAACCAAGTGATCCCGTAGCACGCTTAACCCATTTGGGCTGGGTTTGTTTTGGGCCAACGTTGGTCAACAAGTTTCGGCGCAACTCTCGTTCCCACTTCACACGCACGTACCGTACCTGCCATGTAGACCAGCAACCGCCACCGGACGACATTCTACACAAGTTCTGGGCGCTTGAGGCTCTCGGAATCAAAGAAACGTCTGAGAAACAGGCGATGACAGCCGACGAAAGAGTAGCAACTGAAACTGTAGCTGGATCCCTAAAGTTTGAGAATGGTCTGTACGAGGTAGGAATCCCCTGGAAGGACGGAGAGCCGAAGTTGACTAACAATTACGAAGCGGCGTTGTTACGACTCCAGAGTCAAGAGAAATCCCTCAGAAAGAAAGATCCTAGTATCCTGGAAGCCTACAGTAAAGTATTCAAGGACTATGAGAAAAAAGGCTACATTCAGAAAGTGCCCAAGTCCGAAGTAGAACAGCAGTGGTTCCTCCCACATTTTCCGGTCATTAAGCCAAGCAAAGATATTACTAAAGTTTGTGTTGTCTTCGACGCGGCAATGAAGCATGACGGAAAGAGCTTAAAGGACAGCATACGGCCAGGTCCGAAACTACAACGAGAAATAGTAGATGTTCTCACCCGCTTTCGTTGAGCACCAGTTGCTTTGAGCTCAGACATTTCTGAAATGTTCCTGCAAGTTGGTCTACAAGACAAAGATCGTCCCCTTCCACAAATTCTTATGGCGAGATTTCGATCCTTCAAGAGAGCCCGACGTATACGAGTTTCAACGCCTGTTGTTTGGTAATACTGCCTCGCCATTCTGCGCACAGTATGTAATACACGCCTATGCTCAAGCACATACAGAGACATTCCCAGTGGCCGCAGAATCGGTAGATAACTCCATGTATGTTGACGATGTCTTAGATTCAAGCAAGATTATAGAGAGTGCCCAGGATCTGCGACGTCAGTTATCTGACCTGTTGGGTCTGGCAGGTTTTCGGCTGCGGAAATGGTCGTCGAATGAGTCATCAGTTGTCGCAAGCATCCCTGAGAGTGACCAGTTATCTGCTGTTGCAATTAACATAGAAGAGCCATCTAAAACCAAGACTCTGGGATTTTTGTGGGATCCTGAAAGAGATGTATTTACCTTCAGATTGCAACCTCCTGATGCGAATAAAACCCCTACAAAACGTAATGTACTGAGCGCCATAGCTGCTGTATACAACCCCCTTCAGTTTCTCTTGCCATTCTTTGTTCGGGCTAAAATTCTCATGCAGGAGATTTGGAGAGCAGGGTTGGATTGGGATGACAACCTTCCAAGTGATCTAGCAACTAAGTGGAGGAACTGGGCTACAGAACTTTCGCAGTTATCGCATGTCGCCATACCACGCTGCTTACGCCTTGCAAACCCGAATAAAATGGAACTACACCTGTTCTCGGATGCCACTAAAGATGCCTACGCATCAGTAGCTTATTTGGTGTGGCAATATGAAGACGATAGCCCTACATCACGCCTTGTCGCATCAAAGTGCCGTGTAGCCCCAACCAAAGCGATGATGATTCCCAGACTGGAGCTTATGGGTGCCATTCTCTCAAGCCGTTTAGCTCAAAGTCTTCTGAAAGTCCTGACTGTCGATCGAGTGATCTTTTGGACTGACTCTGAGAATGTGTGGTATTGGGTACAAAACCACAGCCGGCAGTTTAAACCCTTCATAGCCAACTGTATTGCAGAAATTCAACAGACGACGAGTCCCGAGCAATGGAGGCATTTACCTGGGATACAGAATCCAGCAGATCTAGCGACCCGAGGTCAATCTGCTATGGAACTAGCCAAAAGCACATTTTGGTTGGAAGGACCATCGTTCTTGAAAGATGTCGAGATCTCGGGGCCATCAGCGCCTTCTGTTACAGGAGACGAAAGTTGAAGATATTGAAAAGACAGTGGCACAGATGTACATGGTCCAGGCGCATGCTAACCTGGGCGTTGATCCAAACCATTTTTCTACCTTCCGTCGCCTTTGTTGTGTGACTGGATGGGTTCAACAATTTGTTACAAACTGCAGACTTCCAAGGGAATTACGAAAATGGGACAGAACGCTTTGTTCAACTGAAATACTTAATGTGGAAAAGTGGTGGATCAAGCAAGCGCAAGGAGAAGCTTTCCCGAAAGGAGACCGAGAAGGATGTTTACTGCGACTTACTCCAAAGAACGGTGACGATGGTCTTCTGAGGATGGACGGACGCTTAAGACTTGCGGATGAACTATCCTACAATACAAGACACCCCATTTTATTGCCAAAGGAGCACGTGGTGACCCAACTCATCATCAAGGATGCACATGAAGAACTCAGACATGGTTCCGGAGTTCAGCAGGTTCTAACACTGCTACGAAGTCGTTTTTGGATCGTAAAAGGAAGACACGCGGTAAGGAATATCGTTGAGTCATGTGCGCAATGTCGACGACGTTTTTCTGTAAAAACAGCGGAGCAGAAGATGGCACCGCTGCCCAGACCGCGACTTCAATTGTTAAGAGCTTTCGAAAGAGTCGGAGTGGATTATGGAGGCCCATTTCTAACGAAGCAAGGATGAGGCAAAGCCAAAGCAAAGAGATACCTATGCCTATTTACTTGTCTAGCGACAAGGGCTGTTCACCTTGAGATGTCATACTCATTAGACACGGCTTCCTTCATCAATGCCTTTACGCGAATGGTATCGAGGAGGGAGGCGTCCGTATATGTTGTTATATCGGACAATGGGACCAATTTTGTGGGCACAGAATGGGAGATGAGAGAATTAGTTCAAGCTTTTAACCACGACAAAATTACCCACGAAACCACCAAGTATCAACCTATTGAATGGAAATTCAATCCTCCATCGGCCCCTCATTTTGCAGGGGTTTTCAAGGCTATGATAAAGAGTGCCAAGAAGGCAATAAAGATTGTCCTAGGAGATGCAGATGTGACGGATGAAGAACTTCAGACCGCAATGTGTGGAGCTGAAAGACTGGTAAACTCACGGCCCATCACTTATGTGAGTTCAGATCCAAACGACCCATCCCCACTTACTCCAAATCATTTTATAGTCTGACAGATCGGTGGGGTATTTGCTCCTGAAGCTCTTGATCAAGTTGAAGCAAATAACCCCAGGAATCGCTGGCATCGAGTACAACAATTGTTACAGCTGTTCTGGAAGTGCTGGAGAAAGGAGTTCCTTCCACGCCTTAATGTAAGCAAGAAATGGTTTCATCCCAAACATAGCAAGGCGATGTGGTATTGATTGCTGAACCCAAAGCAAATAGGGGAGAATGGCCTCTTGCCCTTGTGATCGAAGCGTATCAGGGAAGTGACGGCCTAGTCCGAGTTGTAAAGGTGAAATCCAGGAACAAGGAATATTTCCGTCCTATACATCGATTGTGTCCTCTTGAGTATGTTGACGAACATTTGGACAATGAAGATAGATAACTGAAACGTTTATAGAAGTGAACAGAAAGGACGTCAATTAAGTCGTATTTGTTAGTATTCATTGACATTGCTAATCCCTCTATTTATTGTCTTTAAGTGGAATCGAATGCGTTGCATTCGGGAGGGGGATGTTAACGAACGATATTATTATATGAAGTATTTGTTATCATGACCGCTGAAATAGTCGCGCGGGCGACAAAACGTAGTTTGAATGTTCTAGTTTATATTTTTCGACTACAAAAAGTGTGACAATATTTAGGCTATTTTTGTGTTTAAAGACTCGGAATAAAGTGGCGAATTATCTCGTGTAGACATTTTATAGACAGTTCAATTAATCGGGCACAGTCGCTCAATTTATATAAATTTTATCATTTTTTCGCGCTTTTGTGCAGCGATAAAATTTCCTTAGAATAATCACTGCATTGTGATGATGAAGCATGGTGTAGTAGATACATATATAGAGGGTATTACATGGTGGCGCAAAGATACGACTTTTATCTTCGAGTGGTGAAAACAATATTTTACGAACGAGCGCAACGAGTGATCAGTAAAATATTGTTTTCACCACTTGAAGATAAAAGTCATATCTTCCAGCCACTGTGTAATGTTCTGTTTATTATATAGTGCCAAGCAAAAAATTGTATAAATACTATAAAAGTCACATGATCAATATCTTCACTAGTGAAGGAAAATATGTCACTGTGTATTTCTCAGTATCTCACTCTCAACTATATAATACTGACAGAGTTATAACTCAGGTGTACCCACTTTTTTGTGGGCATCCCATTTGATGGCGGCTCACTTTAACTGCTTGCGGAACTTGCCGAGCATGCGCAGCTGATCAGTTTTTGCCCAGTCGCCTGAATAAGGTGGGTACATGAAAACGCAAGTTTCCGCACTGTTTACGACGGCCAGTTACAACTCTGTATGTAAATACTCTGTGGTATGTCTTTATTCTGTGCCGGTAGTACGGTTGTTGGTTGGGAATTTGTATGATACCCTCCCCCCGTGCCTATGCAATTGTTGTTTCGTTGCTATGCAACCAGCTCAAAATTCGACCGTTTCGAATGCATGCACACGTCGGTAGCAGTGGTGTTTTATATCGTGAAAATACTGATCCAGATACCAGAGAATCAACTGTTCAAAAAGTTATTTCAAGGGACGATGAAAGCTTGTTGTGTTGGCGCAATGTTTATTGACAAAATCTATGTCAATATTGGAAACTGACGGTAAGAAATTATATTTTCTTGGGCAATGACAATGTATAAAAATGACAATTCTTCAAATTATAAAATCGACCCAGTCTTAGAAAATTATACCAGGTGTCTCAAAAAAAACTTGCTGTGTTTGATTTCATGTAAGGTAAAAACTATATAAGCTATTACACTCAAATATTGTATTGAGGAAAGGCTAACTTAGATCTTTATTGTATTGAGGAAAGGCTAACTTAGATTTTGATATACAGCCCCAAACATTTCATGTAATATTGTGTGAGATACAAATGTTTGAATGTGGCGCATGCTTTAAAAATGAGTAAAAAAATCCGAGAAACATGGCTAATCAAATTTATATGAAAACAAATTGCCATTTTCCACAAAATTAACAATTTCAATTTCAGCATTTCAACTCAACTTTAATTTCGGGTAACGTCCTAGTATAAGTTAACCTTTCGTGTTTCTTGGAAAGCGAAATAGGCATGAAACGTTTAAAAACGTTCGAAAGCATAGTTGACGTCCTTTGTCTTTGAGAGTTTGCATTATAAAGTTGGTCTTTGTTCGCCTTTCGAATATGCCTCGATTAACAAAAGATCAAAGAGTTTGGGTTCTATGGTTCCCCTGCAAGACATTGTATATGTGCAAGAGGACAAACTTTCTATGGTAAATGAATGTTTATCCAACAATTATGTTTTTCATTCGTCCTTTTGGCCACAGTAAAATTATATAATCAAGTTTAACCAAATAATATTTGATTGGCAATTTTATGCAAATTTTAACATTGTCAAATATGCTTATTCAATTTAAAACATTGATAGCTCAGTAAATATTGCACAGATATTCAAATGTTATATATCAAAATCTAAGTTAGCCCTTTCTGAATGCAATATAACTTACTTGGGTGCAATAGGCTTTATAATTTTTATGTCACATTAAATTAAACAGCGCAAGTTTTTTTTGGGTCACCCGGTGTATTTACAACAAGACAAAAATGTCTATAGATATGCTCGTTTACATTTCTCCTCGAATCATGGCAGCAAACACAAGACGTATCTGGTTATAACTGTATGTATTTTTAAGTGCATCTCGAACAATTCGCAAGCCATTGTTATCTTTTTGCAACTGTGAAGCAATGACATCCATGTCCTCAGCGCCGAGATCGAGTTTTAAAGCCAAATCTTTGTAAGACACCGGAGCACCAGAACAATAACAATCGATTGTGTATACCTCTGCTGTAGCAACGGCAACATAGTGCATGATTGTTGCTTTATAAATATTTTTGTTGCCTTGATTTTTTTAGGGGAAGGCCTATTTGGGCCATGGAGAGCTTTTAGAGCTTGAATATTCTGTATAAATTCAGAATAAAAGTAGGGGTTGGAAAAACTGCTGTGAGAAAATAGTGCATAGTCAGATATTTATTGACCAAAGACTTTACGAATTTACCTTGCCCTTGACATGAATGTTGTTCGGTTTTACAGATGTCAGTCTCGCAATTCCCTAGTTTAAGTGAAATGCAGCAGTATTCAATTTGTGTAGCATGTGCAATATACATTGAAACCAGTATATTTTGACTAAACGTAGTGGATACTTTCTTGTGCTGTCGTATTTTGGTCTGAGATTGGGCATTTAACTTTTGCATGAAAACTATTTTTATAGCTGCTTTAAGTTTTTACGTCGAAAAGCAACTTCAATAGTTATATATTATTGCATGTTTTAAGTATATTTCGTACATAAGATAATGAAAGAGAAATACAATTTACAAGGGGAATTTTGAAACTATAGTCAATGAATCGTCCTACTCGTTATATTTTGACCGGTTTTGATCATTATACAGCATTACCGGACGTGTTCAAAACAATGAAATGCTTGCAATTTGCACCTAAACATTTATTGTTTTTAAAACTATTTTTAATACAAATAGTTAGTTTTCCTAACAAATGTTTTTTAGTATTTGGTCTATGGATAAGTATAGTAAACTCCCATGCCAGCGTGGGAGAAACCTAAATGTAGGAAAGAACAATCCAGAGATTTCCTCAAGGGACTAATGCGACAGGGGCCGACAGCTGTGATAGTAACTAGGAGGGCTGATTGAGGTACCCCGTTTTCGCAAATGTCACACCCCACAATTCGAACCACAGGGAGAAACCCAAGTTCCAACTCGATTGCAAAATAAAGATTTAATATTTCCATGTGTGAAACTTTTTTATTATTATTATTTCTATGTCTCATAATCATTTCGTCAGTCGATTATCAGTTTCACACAGTAACTAAATATAATAGACAGTCACATGGACTGAATGTATATATATTCCGTCAATCTTTCGCCTGATTCTGGCGTTTTTGTTTCCACTTAAAACAGGTTAACTTTGTATGTCCAAATTTCTGACAGTAAAAGCAGCAAATAATGCCGATACTGTGGTGCTGCCCTGCCACGCTGTGGGTTCGCAGGTCGTGAAGCCTGACTTTGATTCGCATTGTTTTCAACCTTAGCAATTATGTCCAACACTTTTGCTTAATCCTTGTCTCCCAACAGCGACAACAGATACGCCCTAAACTGCTCATGCGAACTAACACTAAGCGTAGATGGGAGAGTTTCGTATATTAATCTGTAGTAATTAGCTCGCTTATGTTGATTATCATGAGCTGAATTCTTGGTGGCTTCCAGCAGGTCCATAGCGCCAAGATGCGAAAAATCAGCAAGCGGCCGAGATGCCAGATTCCTATAACTTTCATCAGCAAATCATTGAGCAACAAAGTCGCCAATGAATCTATTCTGGCTTTTAACACAGCATTCATCTGCCATAGGGGTTACATAACCCAAAGAAAAAACTCCAAAACATGCAGAAAAACACAATGCATATAATTGTATTATGCAAAACGATTTACATAATAAACTCCAAACAATAACATACACACAAAAGATACTGCATGCCAATTGTTAGTTCCAAAACAATACATAGGCAGTGTTAAGAACTGACTTCTAATTAGTTTAATTATTCTAAACAGTTTATGATAAGATATGCATGAATAAATAATTAACCCAAAAAGATTAGTAGGTAAATTTGAAATTGTTTAGTTATAGTTAGAGCACTTATAGTCAGAGCGCATCGAAATCGAACAGTGATATAAACAAGAGTTATTAACTAAGAGTTTATAAAAAGGGATCTGCGGGGACAGAGGTACGTTTATATAATAATATACTGTAGTGATTTATAATTGTAATATACAGCAAAGTAGATAGATTGATGACTTGTACTTATTGTTATTTTAGTTTTTACGTACTGTCCTGGATAAATATAAGTTTAACATACAAGAAGACTATAGACCACGAAGAGTCTGTGCATTTGTGACATAGACCACAAAAGGTCTATGCGTTGTTGTTAGTTTGTTTCGCCGAGTTTATCGGGACGGTTCAGTAATCTCAGCCGCTCTCAAAGTCCGATCCTTTACAGTAAAAACTCTCCCGTGTTTAAGAGAATGGCCGTTTGTTCGTGGTAAAGACATCAAATTCAACAGTATATGGTTTAGCTGAACATGGCCGAGGAATTTAAGAAGGGCACAGTCGACAAAGACGGCGTTACTGAAGAAAAAACGGCTTTCGAGACCGGTATTCGTGAAAGTCAACGAGAAAGAATACCTACCCTCAAGGGAGAAAGAATACCAACGTCAGCTATTACAATGAGACTATTCAATTGCATCCAGAGCATGGCGAAAACAAGCGAATATAGCAGAAGCCGTTCTGGCAGATTCAGCAGATGTGTTTGTGTTACAACATAAAAGATCGATACTATCAGGGCGTATGGATGATTTGGTGAACACGCAAAAAAAATTTGGTGGCTTAGTTAGCCAGGAACAATCGACTACATACGAAAAATGGTGTCGCATACAATAAAGTGATTTGAATACAAGAATTTGAAAGCTAATCGATGATCGAAGCTCTGCAATTTCTAAACGCTCGCATTGAAGCAAAACATGCGGAAAATCGACTAAGACATCGAATTCTTCGCTGCGTCGGAGGTCGGAAATGCTAGCTAAGAAACCTACAATCCTGGACAAACGTTGTGGACAACCCACAGAATTTGGCCTCGAATGGTGTTTTTTCTAAATAATTATCGCCCCGCTCCCCCAAGCCAATGTTGAATGGGATTTTTCATCAAATACGAAGTGCGGTTAAGTCGGATATGCAACATTGAAGAGGGGGAGTGGGGGATGTGCAAGTAAATTCAAGTTTTAGGTGTCTCTTATGATTTTTGCAAAAGTGGATTAAGTGTCCACATTGGTGTTGGCCAGGATTTTCTGAAAATCACTATAGAAAATAATAGACGGTTCTTGTATCTAATATGACACAAAACGGAAAAAAGTATGCTTTGTAAGTAAAATTGCGCTTGTTTGCATCTAAATAATCCATTTCTGATCATCTTTTGAAAAAAAATTGTCCGGTAAGGAACAGATTTCCTAACCAAAAAAAGCGCCCACGAGCCTAATTTTTAGGAATAATTATGTGACGAGAATGACAGGAATATATAGTTCCAAGTTTGTTTATATGAATTCTTGAAGTGCTTGAGAATCAAATTTATACAACTAAATGGCATTTTTCATACAAGTATTATAATTCGTTAACTGCAAGTCTTGCTGCTTACGATATATGCTAGTACGTTTCTCTGTTTTAACCATATACTACAGCTTCCTTCTGACAGTGCAATTTCAAGGTGCACCTAAAACTTGCTGAATACAATGCTTGACAGAAAACTATACATGATTTAAGGCAGGAACTAAACATCTGAATTATATATCAAGTTGCAGGGCTTCGCTATAATTGTTAAGTTGATATGTTATACTTTCCGATCGAGTGACGTAATGTGCAACATATTAATATTCAAAGCTCGAAACACGGTCTACACTTTTTTTTGCAGTGATTTTAGAAGTATATGAGCGCGCAATCGATTACAAATATAGATTAAAAGGCTTCTCCAATTACGTTTTGCACCAGTATGCAGCAAAACATATTAAATCAGCTATGCCTTAAAAATCGCCACAGTCTACACACAAAAATCGTATTTTCGTGAATACTAATGAGCTATGATCTATTATATTCAAAGAGCTACTTTTAATATGTAGACCGTGGTAACTTTTTACTTCTCTAGTGTGTAAATTACGAAAACATTTTAATAACAAGTATAATATGTATAGGTAGTTGCCTAAGAAGAAATCGTTACATTTCAATGCAGCAATTGTGTATAATTCAAGTCCGAAGTTACTGTAGACCGTGCAGGCGTGCTAGTCGGCGCACAGTATTGAAAAGTGTAAGGCAATATTTTATTATTTGACAAACGCCAATTGTAATATAATATTTACAAGTATAAGTGCATCGTATGTATTTAATGGCTGTAGCTGGATCGAGTTCGCGTACAAGTTTATGATAGACACTTATCTTTGGAAATACTAAGAATCCTCAATGTCAAATTATATTGCCTTTCAAATGGCGAAAAAGGTTAACTTGATATATTTCATTTCCAGTCTGATATTGCAAGGTTCTTGTCATTCGCGAGTAATATATTAGGGCTGTGTATAAAATAATAGGCTGTTCAAAACTACAAAAGTCTTTAAAATCAGTAAATATTCAAAAATACAATAATTTATTCCATGGAATAAGGTAATTGCTACATAGCTTCAGTCTTGAGACCTTCTGGAATCATACTGAATCTTCATAAATATGACACTGAAAATTTTCTGCACCGTTAATTTGTCTCCTGTTAAAGCCTAAATGCATTCCTTGGCTATGTATCTGAACAGTAAAGTCTGTGTACCTTTCATGTATAAGATTGAGAAAAAGTTATGCTCGCACCTATTCAGTATAGTTGGTTTTACCATATGCACGCTTCCCACAAATTAGCTTATATTTACAACATCCGGAAGTGACGTAATTGCTAATAGTGACGTCATCAGCAATCAAACTGTATAACAAAAACTTAGAATACATAGGTATGCATTATAGTCTCATCAGACATATCAAATGTTAAATAACAAGTGATAAAACAGCGCTTCTCCATGCCCATCATTTTTCAGACAATCCTGGACAAAACGTTGTGGACAACCCACAGAATTTGGCCTCGAATGGTGTTTTTTCTAAATAATTATCGCCCCGCTCCCCCAAGCCAATGTTGAATGGGATTTTTCATCAAATACGAAGTGCGGTTAAGTCGGATATGCAACATTGAAGAGGGGGAGTGGGGGATGTGCAAGTAAATTCAAGTTTTAGGTGTCAATTATGATTTTTGCAAAAGTGGATTAAGTGTCCACATTGGTGTTGGCCAGGAATGTAGACTTGAAACTAAGCTAAAATTTCATGACGCTGAAATAAAAAAGATGGCTGACTTAAAAAGGCAAGAAGATGAACTGAAACATTTCCGAATCGCGAATGAGCTAGCTGCTACCGATGCCGACATCGAGGCAGTCGCTAAAGTTGAGTCAAATTACAGCATTGCGTTGAACCTCAAGAACATATCGAAGTTGCCAGATGACGACAACTCCGGAGAACGAGTAAAGCAGTGTCTGGAATCTCAGCATACCATCAACAATAACGGCCTAAGCACACTTCCAGTTGACATAGATATCTGTGGATCCATAGTCAGCAAACTCTAGCTACAGGCATAAATTCAAAAGATCAAGTGACACCTGGCAACGATTTAAATCCTTTATCTCCTCCCATCCCAACGACACATCCGAGCTTTATACTACCCACTCCTCCGCTAGCTGTATCGCAAGGAGAAATGTCAAAAGAATCACTCCCCGTTTCTACGATCACGAGAGATACGTCGCCTCACGTCTCTGCCGGGTACAATGCAAATGCCAATGGAGATTCATTAACAAGACTGGCGGACCCGCTCGCACAACGACAAGATTACGATTCGCTCCCACGTCCTCAGCCCGATGTCTTCAGTGGTGATATACTTCAATATCCAATTTGGATCAAGGCCTTCGAGACTTTAATCGAAAGAAAAACGAATCAACCATCCGAAAGACTTTATTATCTCGGAAAGTACACATCTGGGGAAGCGAAAGAAGCAGTAAGTGGTCTCTTACCCTTGGACACAGAAACAGCCTACGCGAAAGCCAAGAAAATCCTAGTGAACAGGTTTGGTAATTCCTTCCTCGCCTCGAATGTGTATCAAAAGAAACTGGAGAATTGGCCAAAGATTGCGTTGAATGATGGTCCAGGTCTCAGAAGATATTCAGATTTTCTCCAACACTGCTGTACCGCGATGGACAAAATAAACTGCCTGAACGTCTTGGATGATCCGGAAGAAAATCGAAAGATGCTAAGTAAACTCCCGAACTATCTTGTGAACAGATGGGGGCGTATTGTAGACGATCGGATTGGAGAAGACGTTAACGAACGAAGTGATGACGAAGATGAAGTTGGAATGCCACAAAAGACCGAGGGAAGAAACTATCCTTCATTCAAGGAATTCTCCCGGTTTCTGAAGAAAGAAGCCTGGATTGCATGTAACCCTGTGATCTCTCAATGCTTTCTCAAAGGAGAATCAAAGAAGAAAGAAGTGAAAGAGTCGAATCATAAACAATCCCGTTATAGAAACGTTGGTGTCAACAGTTTTGTGTCGCAAACAGAAGATTTCTCTCCTACTCTTGAAGAAAGTCTAATGAAGCCAAGGAATGACGTAAAGAAACTAATTTGCATATTCTGTAAAGAGATGCACAAATAGATGTCTGTGAGAAATTTCTTAACCTATGGATGGTAAAAGAGAATTTATCATCGCAAAACGTTTGTGTTGGGGATGCTTGAAATGGGGCCACCTGAACAGTAACTGTCGCGTAAGAAAGATATGTAAGGTTTGCAGTGAAGCACACCCAACTTCTCTTCACAGAGATAATCGGAAGTCAAGATCGAAATTGGCTACGAAATCGAAAGACGATTCTTCGAAATCGAAAGACGATTCTTCGAAACCGAGACAAGAACTGAACAAAGTCAAAGACAGTTTGAATGAAGATACAACCATTTCCAACTCCATTGAAGTTTGTAAAACGAACACGTACAGTGGGCCAATCTCACATTCCCTCATTGTTCCTGTTTGGCTGCATCATAAAACCAATCCGAATCACAAAATCATGGTATACGCACTTTTGGATGAACAGTCAGATACGTGCTTCGTTAAGGACTCTGTCCTGGATGAAGTAGGAGTCGATGGTCCTGAAGTTCAACTTGAGATTTCAACAGTATTGGCACGAGAAACCGTAAACAGTCAAAAGATTGCTGGTTTAACAGTTCGTGGTGTTAACGAGACAAGTGAAATTACCCTCCCTGGAACGTACGCCCGAGAGGTAATCCCAGCAAGACATGGACAGATTCCTAGACCAGAATCGGCCCGGAAATGGTCACACTTGGAAAAGATCGCTGAGTTTTTTATGCCATTCCGAAACGATGTGGTGGTTGGACTTCTCATTGGCACAAATTGCGCACGAGTGATCAAACCATGTGAAATCATACCTGGTAATGATGATGACCCTTACGCGAAAAGGACTGCACTTGGCTGGGGAATTGTTGGCATTGTCGAAGCGAAGGTAAACGAAGAATCCGACGAGAATTACGTTGTTGTGAATCGAGTCATCACATACAAAGCCAATGTTGGTCCAGACAGAAGGATTTGTCATTTGGCCTTGAGAGCACAGGTCAAGGAGATTATGAACCCGAGCATGTTTAATCAAATGTTCGAGTTAGATTTCAGTGAACGAAGGAAAGAAGAACCTCTTTCCTACGAAGATAAGATGTTTATTAAGAAGGTCAAGAAAGGAATCTATCAACGTGAAGATGGCCATTCTGAAATACCCCTACCTTTCAAAGATGATGAAATGAAGCTGCCCAATAACAAAATTCAGGCATTGAGCCATCTTTTGAAGCTGAAGCAACGATTCCTGAGAGACAAGAAATATCAAACCGACTACCTGACATTTATGAATGGAATCATTGCTAGTAACTATGCCGAACTTGTTCCTCAGGAAGAGATGAAATTGGACAATAGTCGAATTTGGTATCTACCGCACCATGGTGTCTATCATCATAGGAAACCTGACAAGATAAGAGTAGTCTTTGACTGTAGTGCTGTATACAAAGGACAATCCCTAAATCAAAATCTATTACAGGGACCTGACCTTACAAACAGTCTGCTGGGTGTTCTTTGTCGTTTCCGCCAAGATAACACTGCTTTCATGTGCGATCTCGAGGCTATGTTCCGCCAAGTGATGGTGAATGTCAACGAAATTTCCTTTGTTTCCTATGGTGGAAGGATTTGGACAACGAACCAATTGTGTACCGAATGACAGCGCACTTATTTGGAGCAACTTCATCACCTGGTTGTGCCAACGTTGGTCTAAAGACGACAGTCGATGACTACGAAAGAGAATGTGGTAGCCAAGCAGCCAATTTTGTGAGAGATAATTTTTATGTTGACGACGGATTAAAGTCTGTTTCCACGTCCACCGATGCTATCGATCTAATCCAGAAGACCAAAACGCTATGCAAGAAAGGAGGCTTTCGTCTTCACAAGATAATCTCGAACAGTAAGGAAGTCATTGAAGCAATTCCCCCCGAAGAACGCGCAAAAGGCATTCAAGACCTGGATCCAACTCGTGACGCCCTTCCAGTTGAGAGAGCCCTGGGAGTCCAATGGTGCATGGAATCTGATACTTGAATGAATTGAATTGGCTGGCCGACCACTTACAAGAAGAGGCATCTTGTCAACAGTAAGTTCTGTGTTTGACCCCTTGGGAGTCCTTCCTCCGTTCGTGCTAATTGGAAAGAGAATCCTTCAAGAGTTATGTAGAGATGGAGCGTATTGGGATGACAAGATTCCAGATTATCTGTTGTCGAGATGGGAAAGATGGAGAAACGACGTAGTACTCTTAGCAAAACTAAGTATCCCTCGTTGCTATGTACCAGTCAACTTAGGAGAAATCAAAGTAGTGGAAATGCATAACTTCTCGGACGCAAGTGAAATTGGTTATGGACAGTGTTCCTATTTGAGGCTCGTTGATGATCTGGGTTGGATTCATTGTTCGTTGGTATTGACGAAATCTCGAGTGGCACCGTTGAAGCTTGTAACAATTCCTCATTTAGAGCTTACTGCTGCGTTGGTGACGGCGAAAGTCGGGGTGTTATTGAAAAGGGGAGTTAGAGTACGAGCAAGTCAAGGAGTTCTTTTGGTCTGATAGTAAAGTCGTACTTGGGTACATTTCGAACAGTGCGTATAGACTCCTATCTACATGTGATTGTCCAAAAACTATACGTGTCAGTGTGTGTGGTTTTCTATTAAAACAAATTACAATAATAGCAATATTACTCTTAAATAAAGTAGAGTAAAGTAAACATAATTCCAATTCGAAGTACTTGAATGATTGTCACTAACCGGACTGTTCGAAACGCACACAGAAAAAACAACTTCCAACTTATTTTACAATAAATTTTCCAAAATTCCAATATGGCCGTTTTTACCTCGAGGTTTTTTGACTATGTTCCAAACCCCCAACCCGCCACTGAACTATAACTTAATGTGGATTGAGAACAATATAAATTGATAAACGGTAGCTACACCGGCCCCTAAATAAAGGTATAAATATATATAATAAACAGCTACCGTATCTATAACTGTCAAGTAATTTCGTCCACTTATCTTAAAGTTTATAACATGTCCAACAGGTCACTCATTGTCTTTCTCGTCTTGATCCATCTCGAGCAAACATAGCTTGGTAACCGGACGTGTAAGTATAATGGTACTTGTGCTTCCTCTTCGAATATGTAGCTACAGTCGATGTAGTTTTAACCTTCGCCACTCGAACCATTCCATCTTGACCTGTAATTTCAACGACACGAGCCAATGGCCAATTTCCTCTTGTGAAGTTGTCATCTGCTACTAGGACAACGTCACCAACACACAGATTTCTTTTCTTCAGATTCCATTTCTGTCGCTCCAACAGCGTAGGAAGATACTCTTTGGTCCATCGACGCCAAAATAAGTTTGCCAAATACTGTGATTGTCGCCAAGCCCGTTTGCAGTAAGATCACGTTTTTCGTGAACTGGTCGAGAACTTCTATTTGCTGGACAAGAGTGTTGTTGCTGAGAAACTTCTCATGATAGGTCCAGTGTCTTATAACATTTAATTGGTCAACTAATGTAGTGTCACAGGTAACTTTACTGTGACTTTTTTAAGCCATCAGATTGACTATAAACTGGATAAACTGACATTCCATATTTGATATTAATACCTTTGGCAGATGATGCATAGATAATTTATTTGATATTTGACAATTTGTTGGGAGTTCGTTGCTTGAGAATTTGTTGCTTGTTTGTTGATATTTTATTATAATAGTTCTAAATTTGGTATACATTTAGATTTTATGAAAAACCAACTCCAGATTAATATGGAGTTGTTTTTCATATCTCTTTAGATTTTATATTTCAAGCCTTTGGCAAGAAAGGCTTGAATTCCACTGTCACGTTTTTCGTACGTACATATACGCAGACCTGTCAAGGTTGTAAAATCAAAATGAGTGACATTAACTGAGGGCAAAAATTTTTCCACACAATCACCAGTTAGATTAAGGTTCAAAAAAATTTTTCCGGACAAATTCCTGTTAAAACATGGCCATGGTTTTTCCCACCAAAATTTGTAGAATTTAAGTCTGGAAATTTTAGGTCTTCAAAAAATTACTGTTGTAATTACCAAAACTTTCAAATTACTATGGTAGTAACGAAATTACCACATCTGGTCACACTGCGCCGAAGTGTTGTGTGAAAAATTTTGACAAGGTCCACACCTTTGAACAAGTGCTCATAATATAGATTTGAACACCTTGCTCATAATGGGTACGTACAATATGCGAGGCAGCGAGGCAGGTCGCGAGGCACGAGGCAAACTGCCCAGGCACGAGGCAAAGAACAATTTTGTTCCCAGTCCTTTCGAAGGCAGGCAAGTTGCCATACTATAGAGCTCTCGCGATACGATTGTTGACTTCAACTTTGCACTCGAAAACGTTTTTAAATCCAGTTGCATCTAGTGGTAAAACTTAAAGCAATAAAGGTTAGTATAAATTTGCATTACATCAGTCAGTCATCTTGCTCAATTATTGAAATTTGTGATTCGTAATGTATTTATAATGGCAAAATATAATTATCATAATGCATTTTAAACAGATGGTAAATAGACGGATACAATGCCTTCTGGAGGCAACCAAGTTGGGTCTAACTTTGTACTACGATCCGCCAGGGGACAAAAATCGCTGTTTCTATAGTTGTTTAGCGAAATCAGTAGGCCTAACAGAAGGCGAAGTGGTCGGAATGATCGAGTCGTTTTTGATTGCTAACCAAATAATGTCTTTTTCCGACAAGGTGAGTGGGTATATTTTTGCACGGCCCATTCCCTCAATCACTGTCTATTGAATCACAATTGATAATGTTAATATTCAGTTGTTGCTTAGTTGGCTATGAATTTTATAAAAAATTGCAATCGAGTTCGAATTTAAACGACGCGTGTGTTATAAAAATTTAAACATGTTATTTGTTCGGGGGGTGGGAAGCTGCCTCAGACCAGCTTTTCAGTGTAGTAAATTTCACATTTGGCCTACAGCCCCCTACGCTACAGTCCCCTGTCGGGGAACCGTAACCCCCCCCCCCCCCATTGGGGGAAAATGCCAAGTTCATCGGGGAAACCA